GATATGAAATCTATTGGTATATTCCCGAACGTAACGCCATCTTTAATACGATTCCCTTGATGTTCTTTCACGTCTATTCCCTTGTTAGAAATCACAACATACACCAGAGGTAGTTCGACTGTTTCATTTGCTAATAAAGTCTTTTTTACCTTACCCACTAATTCATCAACTGGCTTGCGGACATAATGTAAACCATAAACTCCTTTAACATCCTTTTTACCCAAGTATTTACATACAAACAGCTGAGGTAGTCTGTCAATTTTAATATCCGACAGTTTTGTTGAATCCGATTTTGGGACTACAGTATTAGGATCAGGTTGCTTTGGTTTGTCAAATTTAGTCAGTTTCTTCAATTTAGAAAACACGGATTTCTTTGTTTCTTTCGGAACCTTTCTGCCATTTTCTTTCGGTTCACTAATTTTCGTCTTATCGTTTGACTTAACACTAGAACTGTCACTTTTCTTGTCAGATATTTCATCACTTTTTACGGAACAATCACCAACAGATCCAGTTTCTGGAGTACCGTCGTCATTTTCGTCTTCATCGATATTATAATCAGCATTCAGAGCAATATTATCCAAACGGTCTAAAGCTTCTTTGAAACGTGTATCCATGTCCGAGACGTCAATTATTTCTTCAGGTAAGGCAGTGGCTCCAAGCACCTGTCCCGACATTTCCACTTTGAGTAAGTTAATCAGAAATTTTTACACCTGTTCTTCCTGCATCGTAGTTTGTCTTACTGATATCTTTATCACAAAAGATAAACAAAGTGGGCATCAGAAAACATTTAGATGATTTAATGCGCTTAACTACGAAACTCGTTCACACAGGTAAAATATGTTATGTTATGACTTTGTAATCGATTCATTCAGGTAACAATTGGTATTTTAAAAGAGGTTCTTTAAGGAAATCAAATACTTGTTCTTATTATAAAAGGTATTCTATTTGTATAAATATATACTGTATTTGGGGGATATTACAATGTATTACAGACTAAAACAAGAGAATTGAGTATGTAGATATTTGATTTGTCATGTAAGGGGACTATTGCATTGTGTTACAGACTTAAACAAGAGATTTGAGTATGTAGATATTTGATTTGTCATGTTAGTGTTTACTTGTAATAATCCGTATAAGTACTGGAGATTACTCACAACGTGATAAAGTAATTCAAAGTTATAATATAAAAGATATTAGACTGAAGAGAAGCATCTAAAATTTAAAACGGAAATTTCAGTATTTTGCATCTTCCTGTAAGCGCTCGAAAGAGTATTCAACAGAATATATTCAATTAAATCAATATACATTTTAGACACTTAGTAACTTACAGACTTCGTCTTCTTATTTTCATATTCGCATCTCCTGTGCCATTTTTATATTTAGAAAGATTTGTCAGTGATGGATACTCTTTACAAATATAGATTTCAATCTAGATTATGATATCTTCAAGTTTGCATTTCACGGTGTTTTTAGATTGCGGTCTCCTTTAAGTATGACCTACACGCAACAACTACACAAGGTTCAAACCTCCTGATGCAAGTGTTCGATCTTAGGTTTTTATATCTTGTTTTTAGGTCACGTTGGTTTCGCAACTTAAAATTTTTCCTCCCTTTCATTTCTTTCTAGTAAACTGTTGTTAGTGTATTTAAAAGATTATTATAATTTTATCCGCACCTATATTACTAGGCGAGTTTAGAATTCGAAGTGAGAAATTGTATAATTATTCAAGCCTTTCAGAATTGTGTTTGAACAAGTTGATATAAGCTGCTGGACACTTTAGTGCAGAAATGTCATTTGTGACGTCAATATTATGTCCTATACATGTCGAAATTGACCTGAAATGGGCATTTTACACGCCTTAGGGCACATTTGCATCTTTAATCAAAGCGCGAAAGCGCTGTAAAGGCAGTTAATTACAGGTTGTGTGTATTTTAAGTCCAGTTATATCATTATCTTGCATAGTACATTGTACTTATCAGAGGTGGCTTTCAGTATTTAAGATTTAGAGTTCTCTAATGATATTGAACAAGTTTTATGAATGTCATATTCTGAGCACTATATGAAGGCGATTGTTCTTACTTGTTTATGAACTAGTGCATTATGTCCAGTTTGTACCTTTTTTATCTATGTTTATAGTCAAATACTGTTTAAAATAGTTTGGCATTTTCTTTTTAGTAATAAGTAAATGTTATCAACTGTATTTTATTCAACTTTGCAAATGTGGTTTGTGACTGGTAAGTACAATGTATGGATGATAGTTGTTTCATTGGAAATCATAACACATCTCCTTATTTATATAATGATCTATATTCAACGACCTCAGGTACAAAAAAAATGTATGTAACTAAACTATGATGGGAAACCTTTCACTTCTTTCTTTCATATAAACTTTTGATTTGGTACCATAGAACTATGTAGAATAAATGTACATTGCAACATGTCAACTCTTTCAATGACAATACTTTTTTTAGAAACTATAACTCCAAGCAAAATTATATTTCCAAGTATAAAGTAATTTATGAATGAAACAAGAGTGCACATGCTGAAATGTCTCGCCTTCTTTACTAATCATTGATACTATGTTGATAGTCCTAAATATAAAGCTTTATTACAACTGTCACATAAACTTAACATTAACCAAGTAAACTAAGCATTGACCAATGACAAGACAATGAACCAAGAAAACGAGGTCAAGGTCAGATGAACCATGCTAGGCAGGCATGTACAGCTAACAATTCTTCCATACAACAAATATAGTTGACCTATTGCTTATAGTTTAAGAAAAACAGACCAAAACACAAAAACTTAAAACTGAGCAACTGACCTTGAAAATGAGGTCAAGGTAAAAAAAAAAACCTGTGTGACTGACAAATAGATCATAAAATATTTCCATATACCAAATACAGTTGAACTATTGCATATAGTATTAGAAAAAAAGACCAAAACTCAAAAACTGAACTTTGACCACTGAACCATGAAAATGAGGTCAAGGTCAGATGACACCTGCCAGCTAGACATGTACACCTTACAATCATTCCATACACCAAATATAGTAGACCTATTGCATACAGTATAAGAAAAACAGACCAAAACACAAAAACTTAACTGTAACCACTGAACCATGAAAATGAGGTCAAGGTCAGATGACACCTGCCACTTGGACATGTACACCTTACAGTCCTTCCATACACCGAATATACTAGACCTATTGCTTATAGTATCTGAGATATGGACTTGACCACCAAAACTTAACCTTGTTCACTGATCCATGAAATGAGGTCGAGGTCAAGTGAAAACTGTGTGTGTGACGGCATGAGGACCTTGCAAGATACGCACATACCAAATATAGTTATCCTATTACTTATAATAAGAGAGAATTTAACATTACAAAAAATATTAACTTTTTTTTCAAGTAGTCACTGAACCATGAAAATGAGGTCAAGGACATTGGACATGTGACTGGCGGAAACTTCGTAACATGAGGCATCCATATACAAAGTATGAAGCATCAAGACCTTCCACCTTCTAAAATATAAAGCTTTTAAGAAGTTAGCCAACGCCGCCGCCGGATCACTATCCCTATGTCGAGCTTTCTGCTACAAAAGTCGCAGGCTTGACAAAAAGGAGTTCTTAATTAAGAAATAAACTGATTCGCTGAGCGCAGCTGGATACACACGCAGAGGTCCAACCCTGAACAGTTGGGGCAAAAATGGACACAATATTCAAGCTTGATACAGGTCTGAATTTGGATTGTAATTAAATATTTGACATATTATAGTTTCTGAATAAATGTAGTCACAGAACTTGAAATCGATTATATGAATTGAATTTATATTCAATTAAAGATTTCTTGCTGTTGTGCAATACACTGTGCTGTTGCGCAATACTTAATAAATCTGTTGCCAGACTATAAACAAATAAAGTTCAATTTCTTCTCAATGTCATATTTGAAATTTATGAAAATCAATAGGGAGATTACATCAACAGCTATAAATAATTCACCGAAGTTTCATGCGAACTGCTTAAAGTATTTTTGAGTTGTTGTCCAAAAACTGGAAAATCCCTGCTTTTTTAATGAATAAAACCCCATTACTCAGAAATGTAAAATCTAAAATTTATAAAATTCTAAAGGGAGCTTACGGATTGATAATTTAGTCTTAGATGCAAGATTTTTTTATCAGTTGTTAGTGGCTTTGAACTAGCTGTCAGTAAATGCGAGTACTCTCAGGTCTGTACTTAGTGTCTTTTTGTTGTTTGGATGTACAACTACCCGGCCTCGTCCACTTGTATTTGTATTTATCCATCTGATGAGTTAAGCCTCTTTCAACTGATTTTTATAGTTCATTCTTATATTGTATGTTGCACCACTGTCCCAGGTTAGGGGGTGGTTTGGGATCCCGCTAACATGTTTAACCCCGCCACATTCTGTATGTACATGTATGTGCCTGTCCCAAGTCAGGAGCCTGTAATTCAGTGGTTGTCGTTTGTTTATGTGTTGCATATTTGTTATTCGTTCATTTTTTGTACATACATGACATAAATTAGTTTTCTTGTTTGAATTTTTTTACATTGTCATTTCAGTGCCTTTTATAGCTCACTGTGCGGTATGTGCTTTGCTCATTGTTGAAGGCCGTACTGTGACCTATAGCTGTTAATTTCTGTGTCATTTGGTCTCTTGTGGAGAGTTGTCTCATTGGCAATCATACCACATCTTCTTTTTTATATTTACATCAACAGATATAAACAATTCACCAAAGTCAAGGTGAGACAACAAAACTTAGTTGTAAGATCTCTGAAATTTTTTACACGGTACAAGTTTTTCTAATTGTTGGAGATTGCACGGTAACAGTAACACCTGTAACTGCTTTACCCATTTCTTATGCACTTTGGTTCGATAAACTCACTGAATATCATACCACATCTCCTTATTTTTATATGCATTACAATTTACATGTGCATGTAATTGTAAATAATATTTATATATATATATCAGAACAAACTTCATTGCGTCACTTTTATTTATGCATCCTTTGGCACAATACAAGTTCTAAAATTACACAACATAAAACAACTAAATGTTATTTCAGATGAAAGTTTTGTTTCAGTTCCATTCATAGGATTTATTAGAATTTTGTAAGTTTTGCCAAGTCCAATAATTAGCTCTATGTGCACGTGTTAATTGGAGACTTTTCTATCCCGTATAAGAGTTTTGGAACTAATTCTGTTTCTTTTTTTGAAAAAAGTGAGCAAACAAATCATGCACATTTAAACCTTTGTCTGCCATCACACTGTCACCTGGATCACATAATTGAACTATTCTACATCTTTCAACTATTTCACAGTCACTGGTACAACCAACATATGCATTAGAGACATAGTTGACTAAACCACCAGGAGTCGAACATACAAGTATTTTCAGTGTTTCTGTTTTTATATGATGAAAAGGTTGCCTGAGCTCTAGGAGCTTTATGTTTTATCACGGGATATTCTGTGCTGTCAATAATAATCCAAGTTGTAGGAAACTTTAATTTGAAGTTGGATGGCGAAAAATACCTGACTAAACCACTAAATGGACAAGTGTTAGCCTCACGCCACTGTTTAGACATAAAAACAATCCATGTTTACACAATATTCTCAACACTAGTTTCAATCTAGAATCTAGACAGTTAAAAGTTGGTTGTATAATGCCTCAATTTCATCAAAGTCATAAAAAAACTGATTTTCAAATGACACCCTATCAATTTGAAAATATATGTATCTCAAACAATGTGCTGCTGGACCAAGTGTGGTCAAAACAAATAAAAATTTAGTATACAAGTTACAACTCTAAACCGGTATATAAATGCATGGCTGTGTCACGTGTCTTCATGTCAAAATTCTCTGCTGAAAATATAGGCATTGATGGTGTTTGCGTAATTCCATCTGTGAAGCTCAACATTAGCTCGGCAGTTGGTGGTGGATAAATCATGTCTGCAGTATGAATGACTTCTTCAGGAAAACCAACTTTACAATCAAAACTTTCCTCTAGATTTCTACTACAATATTCATCAAGTTTAGTTCTTTTGTTTTCACAGGAAACTGCCCTGATTTTTCTTTTTGCGGACGATTCAGTCTCTTGCTTGGTCCAGGAAAATAGGCTGGGAATGGCAGTAGACTTAAGTCTCTGTATGGTGGGTTTGCACCCTGAAAAAGGTTATAAAACATAAGTTTTTTGATAATTAAATGAACTTTCATTAGCAATGCATACTTTATACTACCTGGCAAAATATTAACTAGATTTATTCATTACAATCTGGATAAAAATATGTCAGCCTGATTCAATGTACATCAAAATGTATGTTATGTAAATCCAAAGGACAAACAATGAGAGACGTATGCAACAAACATACATTGTTTGTACCTAAATAACTATAATATAGATGAGAGCATGTCATTGTTTTGTTCCTGTTAACATTGTCATTGATATTTTTCAAGAAAGTCTATGAGGCATAGCTTATGCATTCCTGTCATTACTACATTAGCATAATTACTGCTAAAATAATTCTCAGTATGATATACCTCTTGTAAGAAATCATTATAATTGTAGCAAGCACCAAAAAATCTCAAACAGATCACATTGAGTCGTAATCCAAAAAATTATGACGTCTTGAATTAACCACCCCCTTTTATTCTAAAACGATAATTGCGGTTGTAAACAGACTTTGGTTATTTCGCATGGCGATTACATATATAACTATATATTTTAAAAAGAAAATAGAGTTTTACCATGAATAGTTTCCTGCACGTAGTCTTTTTCAGTAAAATGTGCCTTGCAAACAACAGCTGATTGAGATGGACTCCACGATTTCATCGTGTTCTCGTCCAATCTGCGTATGGGCCATGGCGTTGATCCAACTTTTCCTTCTTTTTAAGTCATTTGGAAATGCATGTCCTCCTCTTAAATGACATCCAGGTACACAACAACAAGTACTTGGCATCGTTGCACAGTGCAGAAACCGGAAGTTGAAGAACAGGATCGGCTACCACGGCGCCACCTATTCAAGAACGATAATTTGCTACTTTATATAACTGCGAAATAACAATAACGTTAGACGGGTTCGCGTGCATAAACAGAAATGCGCTTTAAATTGTATAATATAATTCATGTTCAGTCGACCTTTAATTATTATATCAACGACTGAAATGATTTATAAACATCTAGATTGCAGATAACACTCGAAATTAACCCGACCTCTTTCCACACGGAATTCAAATAATTCTAGTTTGTCAATCGGTTGACTGCTTATAATATAAATTACAAATATATCAAAAGTTTTTAAAACTAACAAAACACAATGATCGTTTCTCTATTTCCCAATGTAAATGAAATGAAACAAAAAACATTTTATATCACAATAAGAAGAGGAGAGAATCGACATTTTCCGGATCTACTTGGAGCCTAATGACCCCCCCACGTAGATAAGTTGGATATCGCGGAAAGAAAGATTAACACGGCAACTAGAAAGGCATTAAAGCACTGCCTTTAAAAACTACGACTCGTTTAGCAAAATATTTTGTTGGTTAAAGCCTTGGCTCATATCTTTATATTAATGACTTTTTTTCAGTTTTACAATAATTGCAAGAAGTTTGAAACCATATTATTCATGCAAATATGCCTGACAAAAAAAATATATATACTGGTGTCTGACAGACTTATGTCTTATGACATCTGAAGGATGATATTGGGAAGGCTTATAATACTTTATGATTTTTGAAGTCAAGAGGACCGAATAGTGGCCATATCATCAGTACCTTTAAATTTCTAAGATATCCCAAATCAAATTAAGGATGAAAATGACAAATTTTATGACTCTTTTTATTGTCATACATTGACCGGAGAGATGATTATAGAAAAATGAGAAAAAAATATATGTTTGTGACTTTCTTGCAAGTAAGTATAATTCCGATTGTAGCCTAACATTCATTCTTAAATAATCCATAGGTTTACTGCATTTCCTTCAGTTTTCCTTCAGTGAGCATCATAGATGTTCACGCACAAATATAACTATGCGAATAAACAACTGACAACTGTATGGTAAGAAAATTCAATACTCCAATCGGATTCTTTTTAAATATCTTGTAAATTACGTCAAGATAATTGGATTTTCAGTTTTCTTTTCTGAGAAATCACCCTACAGATATTTATTGACATTCGAATATTAAATATGCATTGGTTGTGTTGCTGTTTAAAAATGTTAAAAAGTTTAGCATACTCTTATTTTTACTATGTATAATTTAATCAATAAATTATACCTCTAAAATTCTGCTGAATGAAATCTTTTCAAAGTAGGTGAGTTCATAAATAAGGTCACACTGTTTACGTGTTCGTCCTCATGTGCATTTCACATAAAGGATAAAGGTCCTCATGTGCATTTCACATATATGATAAAGCTTTGTCACGATGTCAGCTTGACTTTTGATTAAAATAATCAGGTGCAAAGTGTTATATTTAAATCAACAAATGCATTAGATAAATGACAGTCGTGTACTTAACGTCCAGTCGCAAATATTTTATAGTGCTGTCTATTTATTAATCCCGCACAGTTAAACGCAAACTTCACTTTCAGCACAGTCTTTGCTGCAGACGGGAAAAGTCTAGTTGACATTACCCCCATAACGAAGTCACCCTTTCTTTATTCAATGACTTGGTGGGGTTTGTATTGCTCAGTCTTAGTTTTCCATGTTGTGTACTGTTGTTTGTCTTTTGGTTTTTTTTTTTGGTTTTTTTTTTGGCCTTGGCATTGTCAGTTTATTTTCTACTTATGAGTTTGAATGTCCCTTTGGTATCTTTCGCCTCTCCTTTGCCATACGATGTCGAAAATTTGGCTCACTATATAGAGAAGATTCGTCTTAAAGGTTACACTTTGTAAATACAGCTGTTTCACAAGCCACGCCTCTTTTGGGGAGATATATAATATTCATATATATTTTTTTTTGTTTACGTACTGGTTTCCAGATATGATCTCTATGTTTCATCTCATAGAGAAATAACTTGGGAATATTACCAGTATAAAAACACATGGTAGCGGTGAAAAATGAATTCTGAGGAATACCCAAAGTGAAGGTAGGGGTAGTACAGAATTTTAGTATAAGTTTAAACTCTTAGAAGTTCGGGGCATATAAATGTTGAAAATATGCCGCACAGCCCTATGTTTTGACCTATGAATAAAAAAGTAGTGCATATCAACTTTCCGTTCCGTTCTATGATATAATTTTTTTACAAAATTTCATAGTAAAAGTGACACAGCTTTAGCCGCATTGTCTATATTTACAGAAGTGCAACCTATACCAAGATACATGCAAATATCGATACCTCCTAAAGTATCATTTAATGATTGAATTTTGATCATAAGCATTACTTTTCTTCCATCTTATGTCATATCAAAGTAGTAGAAAAAATAACTTTTATCGACAAATTATACATTACAGGTTTACACTCCACACATACGTGTTTTGTTACCCTAAGTATAGAGGAATAGTTAGTTTAAAAGAGTTAATATATGTTATTTAGGGTAGCAATGCTGTAATAAAGTACAAATGGTATAGCCAAATACCTCAACCTTTAATCTTGAGGACTAATAATGGGATTTGAAAGACAGGTTTAATCTAATTACTTTAGTATTAAAACGCCCACTAAAAGTTTTACCATTTCAATGTGCAAATAAAATAAAGACACAACGCCGTTTATTTAAAATAATAAATGTAATGAAAAAATCAACCGAAGTGCATATCTGCACGATCAACTCCTGGATTTAAGCCTTAATTATATTTAGAAAATACAGATATCTATTGACCAATTCTTTACCAAAACTTATATACCGAATCTTGTCAATGCTAAAGAACAAAGTGCTTGACGAAATGATAACTCCGAGGAATAACAGACCAGCAGCATAGTATTAATCCAGCAATAGGCCTACATGTAAATGAAAATTATACACGCATGTACTGTTAATGTGTTTTTCTTCTTCTGCAAGGAAACGGGGTCAAAAGTAGGATATTTTCGAAAAAAGGTTTTAAAAAAAAAAATGGAATTGTCAATCTACGAAATATCAATATCATTTATAACATAAAAATAAATGAAGATAACACTTTATTTTGGCGCGTCCTTAACGCTTTTCTTGATTTATATTTATTAGGAACGCCCAAAAATTTGAAACCCAAGGATGTATAAATACCTGAATACGCGAGGAGCTATGTGACTAAAAAAGGGCATAACAAGAATTGCCAAATTCGTCCAAGATCAACTTTGTCCGAGGGAGTTGGAACCCTAGTTTCTTCATAATTTCTTATTTATCGACGCGGAGAATAAGTAGGTATAAATCATGTCATCATGTCATTACCTAAGTGCGGACTTCTGAACTGATAATACCCTCTGGGTTAACAGTGCATCAGCAGCGGTATTGACCCAGTGCTAAAAAAATAACACTTTATACATAAGGTGCGTCAGAAGCGCGTTTCTCAATTGACCTTCATCTATACGTTGAAATAAAAAAAATGTATAACCAAGGATGGATACATAACTGAATGCGAGGATAGCTATATGACCAAAAGCAACATAAAGAGATCAACCAAATTAATCTAAGGTCAAATTTGCCAGAGGAAATTTGAATCTTAGTTTCCTTATAGCTTCTAATTTATCAACGGAAAATATAAGAAAAGAATAAAACAAATTATTATGGAGTGTCATTGAAATAGGACTTGGTGAAGGTTTTAGATTGCAGTGGTCATAAAGACTCTGCTTAACTTTTTCGTCCGTCCCTTTTCTTTTGATTTAAAGACGCTCATAATAGCATATACGTTTATTTGAAATTCTACAGGTTGAAATTCCTTCAAAATGCTATTTACAATTTTCATACAAGTAATAAAACTCCTAAGACTAACGTGGGACGTGATTTATGGTTGGAAAGCCAACATAGTCTTTTTTTATGTTTGGTTTGAAAACGCAATAGTTTGTAAAATGTTATTGTACAACCAACGCGTATATCGAATGCATTTAAGGCACTGCAATCACCAAACAAAGGGAGCCAACTACATGATTTTCAGTAATGTATAAAAAAAATATATCTGACCTGAATATATATGTCTTACTATTCTTTATAACCGTATAAAGACAAAATAACAAATTATCTTGTTTTTTTAAGCTTCATGGACGGATAAAAAACTAAAGCACCGCAATACTAGATCCTTTTATAAGAAATTACATACTCTGGATAACACATATTTAGTTCATAAACAAGAAATTCACGGAAATTCCAGGGTCCGTCCACAACAACTGAATCATAGAACCAGTTTCCGGCTTGGTCATGTGATCTATCACTACAGCGATCGTTTCTGCATGTTTTGCACGGAGGACGCTGAAACACCTCTTTAGAATTTAGAACAAACATTTCTCCTAGCAGCATACGCAATAAAATCATTTTCTTTTCCGACTTTATGTCCCTGGATTGTTGTGAATCTGACGTAAAAAAAAGAAAATATGTCACAAATAAACCACGTGTTTGTGTTAGCCAAATTAGTATGAATCAAAGAACATTTGAGAAAAACGTAAGTGAGACAGTGACCGAACAACATAGGTTAACCGAACCAGAAATTTGGAGGTCCGTATAGGGTTTCAGAGATGGGTAAGTGTTAGCACCATTTGAATTGCATAAAATTTGAAAGATGATAGATTATTTGACACCATGCTTATTTATCCGAAGTCAAGATCCTCGAAGAGACCACGACAACGATTGACGAAATGTTTTGATCTAGGAGAGACACGTATACACATACAAATTTAGTTATTTTTATTTTTGAATAAAACCATCAATATATTGTATATATAGACCAAGAGAAAAATAAAGATACAGTAAAAAGGCAACCACACATCTATTCGATTGTACTGGTATAACAGACGGGTTTCGCTATTCTGTTCTGGCTCTTTCATTTTTTTTGGCTCTAAAACGTTTAATATTTTGTGGTTTTCCAGAGATTTTGTCTCGGGCGTGCCTAATGAAGTTTGTTCCAGAGTCACTTGTGTGTGCACGGTAATCATATCATACGCTTTTACTACCACTGGGTCGGTAACACTGCAAGTGAACTACCAGTCCCCCGTAGGGACGTCCGTCCGACAGCTAGTGCTTCGGAACTGACATGTGTTTTTCTGTAAATTTCGAGTTTAAAAATTTTGTTATGTTACTAAAGTTTAGGTTTCACCTCCCCACGACACATTTGGTCTTCAGAAAGTGTTAATTGTCTGACCTGTTTAGATCTTCATGCCCTGAAGCAGTTTGTATTTTTAGCTACGTAGACTTGGAGATTTGGGGCGTTCCTAATAAATAATTTAAAGAGGCACGTGTCGTGAGCAGGGAAATTTGTATCGCACTTTATCTACTTTACTTTATAATACATACAGTATCTGCCAATGCTTGTAAGTAGTGATAAAAACCTCTGATACGTAATGACATTTTCCTGTTTGTTTCTTTCATCATCAAAGGTTAAGCTTAATGTGCAACTTGTTTTGAATCATTGTACACATATTCAGAATGAAGGAATTCCGTAGCAAGAGTGTTGCATAAAAATCATTTTTAGAAAATCCATGTTACAAGGAAAGATCAGACAAGACCAAGGACGACAAAGATGGACAACAACAAAAACAAGGACTGTAAATAACAATTGAAAGTTTGTACAATTTGTACTCCATAAAGGCCGGCTGTTCTAAACACATCAGGCCTAGCCTGCGACTTCCGTCGTATTTGCCTGCAGACACATTAGTTATATCAGGTAGTGAAAATATAAAAGAATACTAGAAGTTTGATTGTCCCTTTGGTATCTTTCGCCTCACTTCTAAAGACACTCAATGCGTATTTATCAACTATCTCATATGGCGACCATACAACTTCTTTATTAGTCACACCTTCGTTTTTCTGAACTATCGATTTCAGAGGGTTAAAAAGAGAAACCAAGAGAAAATAACATATTCTTTCTAATAGTATCTATATATTTATAAATCACATCTCCTAATTTTTGAAAATATAAAAAACTCTGTCAATGTTGCAATAGGTTAATTTGATGGGATTTTTAATGGTTAAGAAGGGGCACTAGAAATCAACTTTGAACTCAGTTAATCCAGAACTGTAAGAACTAATCTCCGTGCTTCATTTAACACACACAATCAACCATTTCCTTATCAATAAAAACAAAAAAGAAATTAATAAGTAAACATACGGTATTCGCCATAAGACAAGTGCTTGTACAACTTGTTAAACTGTAAACCTATTCTAATAAAGCCAAATTGTAAATAAGTTTAACTACCGAAGATCTGTTAGAGCATACTACACTGGTGGACTTAAACACACAAAAGTCTGATATACAAAGACACGTGGCAAGATTAAACTAGTTTTGATGATTGCTGGACCTTCTCTTTTGTTTATTTCAATCAAAGGAAAACGAAATAAATAAAGCAAAATAATATAATAGAATCCGTTCAGAAAAGATGCTTATTTAAATGATATCGGTATAACTTACAACAGAGCCACAACTACATCTAAATAATTGATAAAGAAAAATATATTTTTCTCACCTGCATACGAATCGCTCTTGGTACTACTATCTGCAGCATAGACAGCTGGACCAAACATTCCCCTTTTATTTAATCTAGCATCAAGGCCTTGAGTAACAATAGCATCTACGATTTCCACAGGTGTACCGTGAAATAGGTAATATTCATTTATAGCGGGGTATACGTCTCTTAAAAGTATATCTTCGGAAGCGGTAATTATCTTTCCTCTTTTAGCCTTGACTGTTTGTTCTAGCTTATTGAAGAGTACTCCATTACCAACCTTCCGAAAAAGTTTTGCTCTATTTTCAGCATATTTTTCGAATAAAGGAGCATTTTCGACTCTTTCTACTTTGATGACATGTAGCTTTTTATAGACAAGTGAATCTATACCTTTAGCATCTCTACCTACTCCAACTAAATCCTCCTTCCAAGTCCTTTGAACAAGTTTATCGATAGCACTCGTTTCCTTTGTTGAAGCAGGTACCAGATGAACTAAGGAAGACGGATTTTGTGATATCCATTCATCAATTCGTTTTGAATTGTCAAATTTTGTCCAGTATTTTGGAGTTTTTATTGGTCTTTTAGCCAGCCATAAATAATGACTCGGAAGTGATGAATTTGGTCTTGGCTCTTCATTTTCGGGAATATAAACAACTTCAACTTTGTTTTCTCCTAAAAGATATTCATTTGCTTAAAAACATTATTTTGCTCATAAATATAATGGAATATCCGAAAAGGTTTAAACTCAAATATCTCCAAATAGCAGAAATGGCGGTTCCTAGATAGCCTAGGATACTAAAAATCAAGACATGTATTCAGTTACATTTTATTTTCGGTCACTTTTTAAAATGCATAAAATTGAGAATGGAAATGGGGAATATGTCAAAGAGACAACAACCCGACCAAAGAGCAGATAACAGCCGAAGGCCACCAATGGGTCTTCAACGCAGCGAGAAAATCCCGCACCCGGAGCTGGTCCTCAGCTGGCCCCTAAATAAAATTGTGTACTGGTTCAGTGAAAATGGGCGTCACACTAAACTCCAAAACATATAAAGGAACTAAAATTAAAAAAAACATACAAGACTAACAAAGTCAGAGGCTCCTGACTTGGGACAGGCACAAAAATGCGGCGGGGTTGTACATGTTTTGTGAGATCTCAACCCTTCCCCTATACCTCTAGTCAATGTAGAATAAAGAAACACATAGCAATACGCACAGTAAAACTCAGTTTAAAAGAAGTTCGAGTCCGATGTCAGAATAGGTAATAAAAGAAACTAAGCAAAATGACAATGATACATAAATTAACAAAGGACTAGTAGCAGTTACTGACATGCCAGCTCCAGACCTCAATTAAACTGATTGAAAGATTATGTCCTCATCATATGAAAATCAGGTACAATCCCTCCCGTTAGGGGTTAAGTATCATACCATCATAAAATATATGAGAAGAAAATAACCCGTATCATGCCAACAACTGGTTTTAGAATAAATGTGTTTATTTCCGATGCAAAGACCCTATGAGTGAATCAATATTAATACCAAAATATGCAATCCTTAATGATCTGACAACAGTATCGTAACTATATCCCTTCCGAATAAGTCTGTTTAAATACAACGATGGTAAAAGTTGAACATGGATAGAATATACATTTCATTACTTTTAAAGTCATCTTACCTTGATAGCTCATTATTAAGATAGCCAAACCTCCACACAAGTACAGGAAAAATGCAATAGTTGCGCACGCAAAGGAACTAGACAGTCTATGATCTTTTAGCCAGAGTTCTTTGTGATATGTTCCGCCATAGACACTGACACTAATCATTAGTAAAAATGCTGCAATGTTAAAGCTTAACTGAATCAAAACTCAATTTTCGGACATGTTAATGTTTACATATAGTTTTTGTTTGTTCTGAATTTTGCATACAATTTTAAAATACTGACAACTAAAATAATACAAGACGTTCAACTTTGATTATCTTGTGTTGGTCGGTTATGTTTTACTTTAATTTTGTATTGTTATTCAGTATTTTACTTTAAAGACTATTCATAGAGGAATGTATCTGCAATCAAATGCTGGCGGAAATAGGGTAGAAGCTGAAAGCATTCCCAATTTTAAAGACAAAAAGAGGTAGAGCCAATATTACCTGTATATGTGATTAATTCAAAATCGGAATGTTGTTGAAACCTTTGAATTCTGAACTGAAAAGAGTCTAGACATTATGATTTTTGTCGAGCCTGCGACTTTTGTCGCAAAAGCGAGACATAGTGATCCTACATTCCGTCGTCGGCGTCGTCGTCGTCGTCGTCGGCGGCGGCGGCGTCCACAAATATTCACTCTGTGGTTAAAGTTTTTAAAATTTGAATAACTTTCTATAACTATCCTGGATTTCTACCAAACTTGGACAGAAGCTTTTTTATGATCATAAGATAGTATCCAGAAGTAAATTTTGTAAAAAAAAAATCCTGCTTATCCGTATTATACTTTTAAATGGACTTAGTTTTTCTGCTAGTTAACATTACATTCACTCTGTGGTTAAAGTTTTTTAAATTTTAAAAACTTTCTTAAACTATCCTGAATTTGTACCAAACTTGGACAGAAGCTTGTTTATGATCAAAAGCTAGTATCTTGAAGGAAATTTTGTAAAAATTTATTTCCTGTTTTTCCGTATATTACTTATAAATGGACTTGTTTTTCTTCCAGTTAACATTACATACAGTCTGCAGTTAAAGTTTTTAAAACATTTTTTAGATTCATAAACCATCCTGGATTTTTACCAAACTTGGATAGAAGCTTCTTACAATCAAAAGATAGTATCTAGAGGAAAATTTTTAATAATTGTTTCCTAATTTTTGTTGAGTTGCGACTAACAGCAAAAGTAGGCGAGACACTGTGTTCCGCGGAACTCTTACGAATTTTTTCATCAAATTAGCATTTAGCGATGAAATCAAAATGTTATTCAGAGGTACAAATTTCTGCTGAAGATACTTTAAATCAATATTGCAAAGTACATGTGTATTGTAATTAAAAACTTGTATCGAAGAACATTCTTAACCAAAATTAATTAAAAAGTAACTTAACAAAATTACCGAACTCCAAGAAAAATCGAAAACGGAAAGTCCTTTATCAAATGGCAAAATCAAAACTAGATGTGTCGGAACGACACGAATTGTCCCGTCTCAAAAAGTTTTAAAATCTGCAATTTGAACAACACATGTGGACACAAACATGCATGTATAGTATCCAGCTCTCAAGACCAATACTAGTTTGATGAAAAATTTCCTTGATCAATGAGTAGTTGAATTTCAAACTATCAGCAAACAGGAAGTGGATGTACTGAAGATGTGTTGAAACGACACGAAAATCAGCATATCGGAACGAAACATAAACTTGATCTGTAATTCATCATGGTAGACTCACATACCAAAAATCAGCCCAATATCTAAAGGCGTTTAGAAAAAAAGTCCGTATAACTGTGATTTTCAACAATTTATCAAGGTCCAAAGCCCGTAATTTCGGCAAAAATTAGAAGAGCGGAACGAAACTTAAACTTGATCTGTAACTCAGCATGGTTAACTCACATACAAAAAATCAGCCCAATATCTGAAGGCGTTAAGAAAAAAAGTCTGTATAACTGATTTTCAACAATTTATCAAAGTCCAAAGCCCGTAATTTCAGCAAAAATTAGCAGAGGGGAACGAAACTTAAACTTGATCTGTAACTAATCATGGTTAACTCATATATCAAAAAACAGCCCAATATCTGAAGGCGTTTAGAAAAAAAGTCCGTATAATGGTTTGTTGCGGAATGACGGAATGACGGAATGACAATGACGAAATGACGGAATGACGGACAAGGGTAAAACTATATGGCCCCGACAACTTTGTTGCGGGGCCATAAAAACTAAAACACATCCAACGAATGGAAACCAAATGTCATATTCCTGACTTAGTACAGGCATTTTTGTATGAAGAAAATGGTGGATTAAACCTGATTTTATAGCTAGCTAAACCTCTCACTTGTATGGCAGTCGCATAGAATTCCATTATATTGACAACAATGTGTGAGCAATACAAACAGACATAATTGGTAAAATTGTCAAAAATTGGGGTACAGCAATCAACATTGTGGTATAATCTTAATCACTATAAAGCAAATAACTATTTCAACAAAGAAAACAAAAAATGGCATATAGACACTCTATAGACAAAGTACATGAGCAAATATGAAAGACAAGAATACAAAAAATGACCATAAATTTACCTGTGTACGTTACTTTATTTAACGCCATTTGTCCTAGGTTAAAGTTCTCTTTTTGACATTGAAACATCATTTTTATTTATATTATGTCATAGATCAAACTTATTCGTTCATTGTATACTAACTTGTTTTTGTGTATTGTCTCTTTGATCGAGTTAAGCCATTTCAATTGATATTTTATTGTGTGTCTTTTTTTGTTGTAATATTTCAGGTTAGGGCGAAGGTTGGCGCCTGTTAAAACGTTTCAACCCGCTGCATTTTTATGCACCTGTCCTCAGTCAGGAGCCTGTTATTCAGTGGTTGTCGTTTGTTGGTGTGGTTCATACGTGTATCTCGTTTCTCGTTTTTTATATAGATTAGACCGTTGGTTTTCCTGTTTTGATTGTTTTACACTAGTCTTTTTGGGGCCCCTTATAGCTTGCTGTTCGGTGTGAGCCAAGGCTCCATGTTGAAGGCTGTACTTTAACCTATAATGGTCTACTTTTTACACATTGTGACTTGGATGGATAGTTGTCTCATTGGCACTCATACCACATCTTCTTATTTATATATAGCACAATAACACAATGGCGGGATGTATAAATACCGAGCGACGCCAAAAGTATATTACCAAAAATGGACTAAACAGTAAAGGTTAAAAATATACAAAGACAAATAAAAAGAACACTTTAACTTGTATCTTAAAGATAGCATAAAGCATTACTTCTAATTTTAGTTTTTGTTAAGAATGTCGTTCGTATTCGCCGTTTGGTATTTAGGGGTCAGAATTTAAGTTTTAAGCCATTTAAGGTTTGTAAGTTATTGATATGAGCAGAGTATGTCATACTGTTTTTAGTATACGATAAATATTATGTGATGCAAAAAATTTCGGTAAAAAAAAATCCCTGTTGACGAGACGAATAAAGGCTCCTCTGCTTTCAAGAATGTTAATAATTTAATAATCCCATGTGGTCGCCATTAAAATTATCAAAATATACATTTGAAAAACTTTGAGAGCTTATTTGTTTGCCAGAAAATAATTTTGTTGCCAGTCCAAACCAAGCCTTCGATACCTATACAAGTCTTAGATATTGACATTAACTTTTTGAGGTGATAACTCCCACTTGAAATTGAAAACAAATCATTCTTTTCATTAAGACCTTCGCCAGTTATTTGGAAGAATATTTGTGGGGTGTTATGTCCAGTTAGGATTCTTTCTTAGTCAGGTTTGATTCGTTGCTAGATTGAGTCGTGGCGATCTGTTGTATGTTTTTTATTCCGTCAGTCCGTAAATCCGTTAAACTAAGACTTTTCTTTTAAAGAAACAATTTGAAATATCAACTTCATTGATGGTGTAAATTAAAGGCAGTATTTAACAATGTTAAAATTTCATAAATAATCAAGAAGATAAAAATCAATGTAAAAAACAACAACCAAGGGAATCGCGTGAACTAAAACACAGTAAGACCAATGAGTCGAGAGGGCTAGCGTCCCTGCTATGCATGTATCATCTGCCATGTGAAATACATCAAGATAGGTCCAACATTTCCGTTTTTTTGTCAATATGCAATTGAAATTTACAGATATTATTTTTCTGAATAATTTGTATTATGCAACTAACATTATCTCAGTGGAATTAATCTTAAATCTTTACCAACATAAAGAATTGTGAAACAAAACCAGTGTGATGTAACAAATACAGAAGTTATGTTGTAGGGTATTTCTGAGGGAATATAGATGCAAATTATGTTACAGAATATTCAATTTGACAGCTTCAGATGTTCTCATCTCGTCCCCTTTTGGAATGGACCAGATCATTACTTTGACTTTGAATGCATGACCCAAACAGTTTTTACAGTGCGATTTCCCTTAGTATTCCCCATCCCACTTCCTCTTGCCCTTTTTGCCTCTTTTTTGAACATTCAGCATGAAGAGATGAATCGAGAAGGTGTATGAGACAATAAACTACAAGTAATGCACTCTTTATACTGGGGACTATATGTATAGTCAAAAGGATAAGCGTCCCTGCTATGCATGGTGATTCTTGGGTCGGTATTGGAATGTTAGATACACCCGTTCACGTCTACTCAGTAAGGGATGTAAACATACTTAACCATGTCTGCTTAGTATTGAATTAATTTTTCCTATTGTATATTGCATGTAGTAGAGTTTGTGGACCACCCGTTAACCGATATCTCAGGAGACGCTACCTGGCTTAACTAGGCAGAATATCGAGGTAAAATGAGGAGGAAGGACACATCTATTAAAACTGATCGTCCGAACCGATATTTTGGGACTCAAGGTGGAGAAAAGGCAATGTCTGATCTTTTTCGTCGCCCGAACGGAGCATATACAATATATAATAAAATTCTGTATTGTTGTTAAGCATATAAAATAAAGCTTGTGACAAACAAAATAAAAATTTGTTGTGCCGAAATATCTGGCAATACGATTTCATTTCATCTTGTTCGTATAATTTTATCGTTGCACAAATTTTAAAAAAGATTTATATACATATATCATCAAATATATATGAGCAAAATAGTTTTAGACGACAAGTATAGTGCTGTTCTTGGTGCTTAATTATCGTTGATCTGTAACAGTAACTCAACTGAAAGATTTCTGAAATTGTATACTTTTATGAACATAAAATGACTACTGAACCAACGTAAACGTGTGAAGAATGGTTGTAATAATTGTAATGGGAAGCTTTCTATGACTGCTGTTAAATATTAGAATTCTAGTAACGGTCGCCATTTGTGATGGCGACTTCAGAACAATGACAATTGTTTTAACCTATTCACATTGTAATTGTCGGAATTAAATTCTGTGCATATATAAAGGATCGTCATTTGCACACTTTATACAACCGCTCAAGATTTTATAAAAAGATCATACAGACAGAGTTAGAAATAAAGGTAAAACTATGTAATAAAACAAGGCAATAGATTAATTCTGTGAAACTTTCTCATGAAAAATATGTAGGTTTACTCACCTGTGATTAAATACGACATCCACACTAATTTGTTAATTTTGATATTGTCTTTATATTTCGAAACACACATTGTTGCAATGACAACGACTGCGCATCCTATGGCTGCAAACAGTAACATAAATTCCTTTGTTTTATATGTTGTAATTTTGTTTTTAAAGCTAGAATTAGTATAATGATAATTTCATTTCAAAAGTTCTAGACTGTTTTACGAATATTTGAAATGAAGAAAAAATGCAATAGTCGAATGACGTGAATTGAATTAAAGAAAAAACTCATTGAGATTGAAAAGGTATTGGTCACATTCAATTTGATATGGAAATTCCAGTTTCTTAGTTTGATGCATTGGCTTCTTTCTGTGATGGTATGAAAACCTGTTTTATTGAGAGCTATCATACGTTTTACAGTCAAGCCTTCCAGAATATTAGTTTAATTGGGGCCTAAAGATGGAACGGCTTCTCACAATAAAATGATAAACATGTTTATTCACGACCCTTTATGGTCTAAACATGTTTACATTCAAAACACTTCACAGTTAAACGTGTTTCCAGACAAAACACTTCTCAGCTAAACATGTTTCCAGATACTACAATTCACAGCTAAACATGTTTACAGTCTAAGCACTTTTTAGCTAAACGTGATTCTAGTCTAAACGTTTTACAGCTAAACATGTTTACAGTCTAAGCACTTTATAGCTTGACACGTTTCGGCTGTTAGCACATTAAATATTAAACATGTTTAGATTTAAAACATGTCAAAAATCGGTTTCATAAATGTGTTTAGGAAAGTGTTTAGGCTCTAAACACATTTTTTAGAGTGTATTTGGAAGGCACTTGTGGTTTTGATCCAACCTTTTTTAAAAGATAAAAGTTTAAGTTCAGAAATTTTCTTCCACCCATTCTATTTTGTTTCATTTCATTGGCTCATACCACATGCTGTGAAAGAAAATGCATGTAGATCTAACATAAATGAAGGAATTATTATTATCACCGTTTTAAATTTCGGTTTCTCACAAATTAATAGATAAACACTTATTTCTCATATGTTTTTATCTTTATAAAACAATTTCACAGTCAGTCTAGTTTAAAGTTAGAAAATGAATTGTATCGAGGGTTATTGACGTTGGTAATGTCTAAGGGTTTACTTGGACAAAAGGCATTTATAAGTCCGATATTGTGCGACGTATTATCGCGTAGCCAGATCAATTTTATTGACGAGATTAATAGGAATAATACGATGGGTGTCATTATTAGAGCGGGTACGGGTGTTTTTTTTCGACAGGGATTTTGATATTTGCTTCCTCTTTTAACTTGTCTTAGTTTATATTTCTATACACCGAATGTGTTTTAACACAAATTCACTTAATTTAAAAATGAATCATCTGTGCCTGGTGAGTTTGTACAACTAATCCGTGTATTGTGAATAGCCTAAGACATATTAATGATACCGAATTATGACCACAAAATAAATACAAGACGTATTATCGGATAAGTGTTATTATACTTATATTGATAAATACATGTACTATCTCAAGTTGAAATGTTCCACAGAAAAAAAATCTTTTCATGATTTTCCAAACCGTTTAAGGTTTAAACATTTCTCAAATGATGTCAATTACTAAAATGTACACCAAAACATTTGAATTTGTTGTAGCAAAAACCTTAAAATGACAGCAAAAGTGACCCAGGAATTTGATGTTCAGTAGTTGTCGTTTGTTGATGTGGTTCATAAGTGTTTCTCGTTTTTTATATAGATTAAACCGTTGGTTTTCCCGTTTGAATGGTTTTACACTAGTAATTTTTGGGGCCCTTTATAGCTTGCTGTTCGGTGTGAGCCAAGGCTCCATGTTGAAGACCGTACTTTGACCTATAATGGTTTACTTTTATAAATTTAGACTTGGACGGAGAGTTGTCTCATTGGCACTCATACCACATCTTTTTATATCAGTCTATAGTAATGACGAAGTAACCATTATTATTATTATTATTACAGTAATTAACTTAAACGTATCAATTATTATAAACCACTTGGTGTTATAACTTGTGTCCAATCCGTTTTGTTATGTTTCCAAATAAAAAAATGTTTCAGTTTATAACCCAGATATATTTTCAGATTTTTATGGCACCTGAAAAGACAAGGTATAAACCGCAAGGGGTAAGGACCACTTTACGTTATGTTATGATATTGTAACTATCATGTTTATTTAGTTGACCTTATTTGTTTTGTGTGGCCTCATAGTTGTTTACAAAATAATATTTAACTGTGCAGTTTAGAAATCACTGGAACAATCATAGAGACTGATGGAATGATTTGAACTTTCTATTTGACTTACATAAAGATTCCAGAATGATCACAATAAAAGATGCGTAATTTAAACTTCTAACATTGTTCTAGGAGTTTCCCTTCTACAGTGTTCTAGAAGTTTCCGTGAAAACTATATATACAGATACCGAAATTACAGATCAGACATTAATATTCTCAGAAGTTCTCTGGAGTTATTTTACATTGATATTTTTATTCACGTTAACTACATCATACTAGATTGTGACCTATTGGGCGTAATATTCTGTTTGGGTTCCCGCGAAGAATTCCGGATAAAGAAAAGACAAAAGATCAAACATATTTTTTGACAGTTAAGTTGACATTTCTATTTGTGTAATACTACTTGTAAACTTGTGTATAATAAATCTTGCTAAATTTTATTATTGATTTGTGTCTTTTGTTGGCTACAATTTAAAGGTGATTTCTGGCCGTAACAGTTATAAAACCATTGTTTAAAGTGTGGTTACCGGACTATCCTGTGTAAATTGAAGGCATTTAACTATCAAAACTAGTAGGTAGAACATATATATATATATATATATATATAAGTAGAAGGAAGTTTATGAAACGTCAGTCCAGGTACAAAGTTTGAGTGGAATTAGTCGTTATTTCTTGAGGACGGCGTGATATTACTTCTACATTTTGAATGCGCCATGCATCACCCATCACACGATTTCCAAGTCAGATCCAGTAGAAAATATCATAGACAGGAATATAAAACCATATACTTTCAAATTAATCGTACACAGAAAATAATAAGGGACCTAAAGTAAATAGTATAACTGTAAAAATGTCAAATCGATTTTAGATGCTGTCCAAAAAAGAATGCAAATCATATTTTCTTCTACGATAGAAGTTAGTGTGTGACGCAATTAGCCGGTTGTGTCGAAACATGTGTTTGTATAAATCACAGCCAATATTAACAATAAAGAAATAGATGAAAATATTATGTTCGTTGCAAACACATGGATATCGAATAAACTAAAGTCAGCAAAACACACACTCCATAAAAACATCCAACTACACATCACCTTCAATGAAACGAAAAATTGCCCATTAGAAAGGAAAAATACCGTTCTGTTGTCACAATTTATTTAATGGAGGTTACCGTGATTACACACTCGATACAATAATCTTCATCCTTTTGAAAACAATTAACAGTATCGATATCTCGTTTATTATATGAGAGTAAGAGTGTATGTAATATTGTTTACAAAACTTTCGAAATACTAAGGATTTTCTACCCCTAAAATAGATTAACCAAACTGTATTTGGCTAAACCGTTTGGAATTTGGGGTCCTCAACACTCTTCAACTTCGTACTTTATTTGGCCTTTTTAAATGTTTTTTTTATTCAAGCGTCACTACAAATGATATGAGTCTTTTGAAGACGAAACGAGCGTCTGGCGTACAGATTTAGTAAAAAGACAATATATATGTATTTATATATCTAAGTCACATGAATGAAAAAGTGTTCAAACATGGCTTAGGACTTACCTACTGTAGCCGTTTTGCACATTAGTTCAGTTAACATTTTTATATGAAATCTTCAATTTAGCATAAATCAAAATGCATCTTTGTGTTAATGACTGATTTGCAGGTTGAATATAATGTCTAAGCATATTTTATTACCTGGCGAGTCCTTCCCAAGGAAATTAATGATACTTTCACAGCACTCGAAGGAGGTCAGCGTTGAGCAGTGGTTCCAAAGTCCTAGTCGTGATGAATCTGATTCAGACCATGACGAACTTACTATACCAAGGACTATGAACAAAAATCCTACTGGTATTATTATAATGGTTAGACGAACATTCAATGGAAACTCAAAAAAGTTTTCAGTTCCTTTTATGAGAGTATCCGACCAGGACATCGAATTTTCATCAGTTTCCATGTCCTTTAACGAAGATCAATAAGTAGACAAGGAACTAAATTCCTTTGTCGCTTTCTTTTCATCTATGAATTTCAATTTAACTCCTATTACCTGTAATAAATCTACTAAATATTACAATACTTTTTAAATTGAATAGAGATCAATGTTTAAACTTAAATATGCATACGGAATGCTTATATTACGAAAAATGCAGAAAAAATATGAACGGCATAATCATAAACATGGAAGGGGATTGAAACGATCAGTCAACCAAGAAATTTTCATCTAAATATATATTTCATTCTTATTTTAATGAGAACTATGTGGCGGATATGACAACATCATTTTTTGGCATATAAGATGAAAACAAACCAAACAAATAAAATAGATATGTAGTTATAATAAATACAAGGCTTTATATACTGTCAATATAAATAAGAAGATGTGGTATGAGTGCCAATGAGACAACTCTCCATCCAAGTCACAATGTATAAAAAGTTAACAATTATAGGTCAAAGTACGGCCTTCAACACGGAGCCTTGGCTCACACCGAACAGCAAGCTATAAAGGGCCCAAAACAGGCTCCTGATTTATGACAGGTGCATAAAAATGCAGCGGGTGTAAACGTTTTAACAGGCGCCAACCTTCACCCTAACCTGAGACAGTAGTGTAACATTACAATATAAAAAGACACACTATAAAATATCAATTGAAATGGCTTAACTCGATCAAAAAGACATTTAAACAAAAACAAGTAAACATATACTGAACGAATAATTTTGATATATGACACTCTATAAGTACAATATTAAAACGTAGGTGCCTATATAACATAGACGTTACAGGTAGTAATAAAACAGATGTAGGAAGAGTGTCAATAAGACAACTCTTACCTGGGACAAAATGGCATTAAATAAAACAACGTACAC